AAAAAAAAGTAGCCAGGCATGGTGGCATGTGCCTGTGATCCCAGCTACTTAGGAGTTTGAGGCAAGAGATTCGCTTGAACCTGGGAGGCAGAGGTTACCGTGAGCTGCGATCACACCACTGCACTCCAGCCTGGGTGACACAGCGAGACTCCATCTCAAAAAAAAAAAAAAAAAATTAGCCAAGTGTGGTGGCGTGCACCTGCCCAGCTACTTGGGAGGCTGAGGTAGGAGGATGGAGCACAGGAGGCAGAGTCTGCAGTGAGCCAAGATCACACCATTGCACTTCCAGCCTGGGCGACAGAGCCAGACTCTGTCTCAAAAAAAATAATAAATAAAAAAATTTTTTTAAAAAGCAAACTGTTTTACTCATAACAGAAAAGAAGATCAAACGTTGATAAAATCTATGAAATCATAAGAGCAATTTTTTTCCATAACTTTCTTCACTGACTTGAGTTTTATGACGTATCTTTTTTTTTTTTTTTTTTTTTTTTAAAAGAGACAGTCATCCAGGCTAGTCCACTGCAGCCTCAATCTCTTGAGCTCAAGCCATCTTCCCATCTCAGCCTCCTGAGTAGCTGGGACTATCAGTGTCTATCATCATGCCTCATTAATTTTTTAAATTCTGTGTAGAGACAGGGTCTTGCTATGTTGCACAGCTGGTCTGGAACTCCTGGCTTCAAGTGATCCTCCCACCTCAGCCTCTCAAAGCACTGGAATTACAGGCCTGAGCCCCCATTTCCAGTCACTATGACATATCCTGAAAACAATATAGAAATGAAGTCTCAGACAATTCCATTAGATTCCAATTCTAATAATCATATTCTAGAAATTATTTTGCGTATATATCAGGCAATTATAGGTCTCCAATGTGCTTTTACTAGCAAGAACTGCTTACAGTCTTTTCAACTATATGTCATATCAGGTCTTTAGAATGCCCGCCAACTCGGTTATGACTTACTATGAGCTAAATGTTGCCAAGTACTTTTGGGGATATAAAAAATGAACAGGCCAGGTGTGGTGGCTCACACCTATAATCCCAGCACTTTAGGAAATTGAGGTAGGAGGACTGCTTGAGCCCAGGACTTCAAAATCAGACTGGGCAAGATAATGAGACCCCCATCTCTAAAAAAATTATCTTTTTTTTTTTTTTTTTTGAGACGGAGTTTCGCTCTTGTTACCCAGGCTGGAGTGCAATGGCGCGATCTCGGCTCACCGCAACCTCCGCCTCCTGGGTTCAGGCAATTCTCCTGCCTCAGCCTCCTGAGTAGCTGGGATTACAGGCACGCACCACCATGCCCAGCTAATTTTTTGTATTTTTAGTAGAGACGGGGTTTCACCATGTTGACCAGGATGGTCTCGATCTCTTGACCTCGTGATCCACCCGCCTCGGCCTCCCAAAGTGCTGGGATTATAGGTGTGAGCCACCGCGCCCGGCCAAAAAAATTGTCTTTAATTAAAAAAAAAAAACGGATTTTAGTCCCTGCAAGTTTAATATAGGAGATAAAGCAGTCTTTCTAAACTTGTTGTAGACATTTACACAAATGCGCTAAGTGCTATGAAGTACAGCTGAGAGCACTCCAACTGAGAATGGATTCCCAAGGGAGGTAGCACTGTGAAGGGGTCACTCATGTGCAGATGGGGATTGCATGAGCAAAAGCATAGAGGTAGAAAAACACCAAGAAGATCTGATTTGGATGAAGTAAAAAGAATGGGAAGGAGAATAGCAGGAAATAAAGACCAGAAAAGTAGGTCAGGTGTTGGCTCACACCTATAATCCCAACACTTTTGGGAGGCTGAGGTGGGAGAACTGCTTGAGCCCAAGAGTTGGAACCAGCCTGGGCAACTTAGTGAGTGAGACCCTGTCTCTATAAAATAATAATTTTTAAAACCCAGAAAAGCAAACTGGGACCAGATCATAGAGATCCTGAATGCCAGGTTAATAAGTTTGGCATATTTTGTAGGTAATGAGATAGCCACTTAAGGTTTTTGTTTTTTTTTTTAACAGAGCAGTAACATGTTCATAACATGATTATAACAGTAGGAAGCAGACTGAAATAGAGAGAATGGAAGCTAAATTTTACTCAAACACTTTACCACCAAAAGCATTTCCAATTTGAATTGACCAGAAGTATCATGAAAATCACCCTTTGCTTTTCTTTATTTTTTATTTTATTGGCTTTCTTTTCTTTTTTTTAACACTCTTTGCTTTTAAAGCATTTAACGGGGAGTAATAATCCCTACATTTTAAATCTACTCTGGCCTTCAGTGAATAGAATGAGATTTCATATACTGGAACTAATGGCCACATTTTTGTTAAGTTAAAATAAAACAAAGTGTTACTTCAGGTTTTCTAATTCCAGAAAAAAAAGAAAAGAAAAGAAAACAAAGTGACTATAAGAGTAATAGAATCTTACCTTGAACATGGCAAAACCCCATCTCTACTAAAAATACAAAAATTAGCCGGGTGTGGTGGCACATGCCTGTAATCCCAGTTACTGGGGAGACTAAGGCATGAGGATCACTTGAACCCAGGAGGCAGAGGTTACAGTGAGCTGATATTGCACCACTGCACTCCAGTGTGGAAGACAGAGTGAGATCCTGTCTCAAAAAATTAGAATCTTACCTTGAACATGTCCACCCAGGTCAAAAGTTGTAAACGTCATGCCAGCAATGGTCAGTTCTTCTGAAGCTAAATAAGAATTTAAAATATTTTTACAAACCCATTAATAGCTTATATTACTACTTAATGTTTGATTTACTTTTATTGTAAATAAGGTCAAATCAATCATTTAGGAACCGGCACAATAATACTTTTTGTAATTAGATATACACCAATTCATACTGACATTATAACAAATAATTGTAATATTCAGTTCTCATATTCATTACCCACCATAAATCCAACATTTATTTTTCCTTCTCTCTTTTTTTTTGGGGGGACGGAGTTTCGCTCTTGTTACCCAGGCTGGAGTGCAATGGCACGATCTCGGCTCACCGCAACCTCCGCCTCCTGGGTTCAGGCAATTCTCCTGCCTCAGCCTCCTGAGTAGCTGGGATTACAGGCACACGCCACCATGCCCAGCTAATTTTTTGTATTTTTAGTAGAGACGGGGTTTCACCGTGTTGACCAAGATGGTCTCAATCTCTTGACCTCGTGATCCACCCGCCTCGGCCTCCCAAAGTGCTGGGATTACAGGCTTGAGCCACCGCGCCCGGCCTATTTTTCCTTCTCTATTCTTTTTTTTCTTTTGTTTTTTGAGACAGTGTTTTGCTTTGTCGCCAGGCTGGAATTCCATTCAGTGGCGTGATCTTGGCTCACTGCAACCTCTGCCTCCTGGATTCAAGCGATTCTCCTGCCTCAGCCTCCTGACTAGCTGGGACTACAGGCACGCACCACCATGCCCGGCTAATTTTTGTATTTTTAGTAGAGATAGGTTTCACACCACGTTGGTCAGGATGGTCTCTGTCTCTTAACCTTGTGATCCACCTGCCTTGGCCTCCCAAAGTACTGGGGTTACAGGCGTGAGCCACCGCACCTTGCCTTCCTTCTCTTCTTCCTGCTGAAAATGTTAATCTATTCAGACAATTATTTGCTACGAATTCAAATAACTGCTCCAATCGAATAACTGTTCATATAATTAATCTTAAATGATAAAGGTGAAATAATTTTCTCTTATGGCTGACACAAGACAGTGTTTAATTATAAACACAATTATAATAAAAATTGTGGCCATTATTTCTATAACTATCTTTCTAACTCCTCCCTTCCACTTCTGGGACTTCAGTTGCAGGTTTGTTAGACTGTCTGATATTGTCCCCCCAGTCATTGAGGCTCTGTTTATTTTGCTTTCAGTCATTTTTCTTTCTGTGCTTCATTTTGGATAGTTTCTATTGCATTGTTCACTGGGCTTTCCTTCTGCAGTACTGGCACTATCTAATTTACTGTTAAGGCTAGCCAGTGAAATTTTCATTTCCGGCTGGGCATGGTAACTCATGCCTGTGATCCCAGGACTTTGGGAGACTAAGGTGGGAGAATCACTTGAGCCCAGAAGTTCGAGACCAGCCTGGGCAACATAGGGAGACCCTGCCTCTATTTTAAAAAAAGTAAGAAAAAAAGAAATTTTCATTTCAAATACTGTATTTTTCAGTTCTAGAAGTTTCATTTGATTCTGTTTTATATCTTCCATTTCTTTCCTCATGTTTGTGTTTTCCTTTAAATCCCTGAGCACATTCATAGTGATTGTCTTAACATCTTCATCTGCTATTTCCTTCATCTTCGTCACAATTGTGTCTGTTTCTACTGACTGAATCACACTTTCCTGTTTCTTTGCATGTCTACTAATTGCATATTGAGTGCTGGATTTTGTTGTAGTCCTTTGAAGAAGGTTGAACTTTGTTCTGACAGTTCACTTGCTTGCAGATCAGTTTTTAAGATTTGTTAGGAGGCTAAATGGGGTTAAATAACAATGATTCCCAGCTCCCAGTGAGCTCTAGTCATTATTTGGCTAGCAGCATTCTTTTTTTTTTACTTTATTAAAATACTGAGTTTTAATTCACATGTATATTTTTGTCTCCCCACCATTTCCATGTCTGACCACCACTACTATGTCCTGTCATAACATTCTGTACATACTTAAAACCAAGCAAAGGGTGGAGTTCCATCTTTAAAAACTACAGGCATTTTGGACAACACATTCTTGGCAATGGTATCTGGACAACATTTATCAAACACGGTAGGGAAAATTCTCACTCTGCATTATAAAAAGGACAGCCAGATATCAACTGTTACAGAAATGAAATAAGACAGAAAATTTTTAACAAATTGTTTAAACTATTCTCTTAAAGAGACTTCCTCCACTGCCAGAGATCTTGAATAGCCTCCTGGTCAGTCATCTAGAAGCAATTCTTCACATAACTGATGAACTTGGCTTCCACTTTGGGAAGAGAACCACCTTTTTCTATACTGGCTTGCATTTTTGCTTTAATGTCTTCTACAGAACTAGGTCCTTTTGGTGTTTTTGAAGTTTTTGGTGTTTTAGGAGTTTTTTCCTATTCCTGTCCTTTTGATCTTGGTGTTGATGATGGTTTTGAGTCTTCTCCATTCTGATTTGACTTTTGTGCATTTTTGGCTGGAGTATCACGTATAGATTTCTTTGCTGGCACTTTTTCTTCAGTTTCCTCATCATCTTCATCATCATCATCATCATCCTCTTCAACAGCAGCAAGTTTTACTTTTTTCTGTGGAACCTTGCTACCACCTCCAGGGGCAGACCGCTTTCCAGACATACTTAAGAGTTTCACATCCTCCTCCTCATCTTCTGACTCTGCATCTTCCTCCACAGCTACTAAGTGCTGTCCACTGATATGCACTGGCCCTGAACCACACTTCAATCGTAAGACCACTGGTGGTGTTATTTCAAAGCCCCCAAGGGAAACCGTTGGCTGTACAGACATTTTCAAAGTTGCCAGTGTTACTTTAATTGGACTGCCTTCATAATTCATTGCCTCTGCTTCAACAATGTGCAACTCATCCTTTGCACCAGCTCCTAAACTGACCATTCTTAAAGATAACTGGTGCTTATTTTCATCATTATCCACCTTAAAGTGATAATCTTTGTTGGCCTTTAGTTCACAACCGAAAAGACAGTTCTGGGGCCTCAGGGGGCTCATGTCCATGTCCACTGAATATTCCATCGGGTGGCGACACACACTTAGGTGGAAGAGAAGGTGGACGGAGATAAACGACCACTGCTCAAAAGAACAGCCACTCAGGATGGACTCACACCAGGGACAGCAGCATTCTTTAGTTTTTTCTCTGAAAACTGTTATTTGACCAGCCTTTTGGAGTATTACCCAATGCATGCACAGATTGGTGTTCTGCTATGTAAATTTCTAGATTCTTTCTGTCCAGAGGTCCCTCCTCTCTGGCCTAGCAAAAAATTCTAGTCCTGTTGGCCTTTCTACATCTCCTCAACTCAGCAAGACTATTGGACTATGTTTGGGCATCCTCTCCTTGCACCATGGTCTGAAAGTTATCTCTTGCCATAAAACTAAAATAAAGAAGAGTTGTTTCCTTTCTCTCAGGAATTATAGTCCTGTGCTAGCTGTTGCCCAATGTCTGAAAACAGTTGTAGCATATTTTTTGTCCAGTTTTCTAGTGCATACAGTGGGAGGGTAATTCCAGACCCAGTAATTCCTTATGGCCAAAAGCATAAGTGCCCCATAATGACAACATAAGTTTATTGTTTGTTTGTTTTTTAGACAGAGTCTCGTTCTGTCTCCCAGGCTGGAGTGCAGTGGCACAATCTCTGCTCACTGCAACCTCCGCCTCCAGGGTTCAAGTGAATCTCCTGCCTCAGCCTCCCCAGTAGCTAGGATTACAGGTGCATGCCACCACACCTGACTAATTTTTTTCTATTTTTAGTAGAGATGAGGTTTTGCCATGCTGGCCAGGCTGGTCTCGAATTCCTGACCTCAAGTGATCCACCCGCCTTGGCCTCCCAAAGTGCTGGGATTACAGGTGTGAGCCACCGAACCTGGCCAACAACCTAAGTTTTAGTGTAACTACTTTAGTCCAGAGTACTTTATCTTGTTAAAACAAGATATCCTCCCGCCTGTGCCTCCCTAAGTGCTGAGATTACAGGCATGAGCAACCACACCTGGCCCAGGTGGTCTTTCTAAAAGAACAAGAACACACAAATTATTTTAAAAATTGTTTTAAAACTTTCCATTTTTGGCCAGGCACCGTGGCTCACCCCTGTAATCCCAGCACTTTGGGAAGCCAAGGCAGGCTGATCATCTGAGGTCAGGAATTAGAGACTAGCCTGACCAACATGGAGAAAAAATTTTTTTACTAAAAATAAAAAATTAGTAGGGCGTGGTGGCCCATGCCTGTAATCCCAGCTACTCGGGAGGCTGAGGCAGAAGAACTGCTTGAACCTGGGAGGCGGAGGTTGCAGTGAGCCGAGATGGCGCCACAGCACTCCAGCCTGGAAGAGCAAAACTCCATCTCAAAAAAAAAAAAAAAAAAAAACTGAATTTTTGGCTGGGTGTGGTGGCTCACATCTGTAATCCCAGCACTTTAGGAAGCTGAGGCAGGTGGATTGCCTGAGGTCAGAAGTTTAAGACCAGACTGGCTAACATGCTGAAACTCCTTATCTACTAAAAATACAAAAATTAGCTGGGTGTGGTAGCACGTGCCTGTAATCCCAGCTACTAGGGAGGCTGAGGCAGGAGAATCGCTTGAACCTGGGAGGCAGAGGTTGCAGTGAGCTGAAATCATGAGACCGCACTCCAGCCTAGGCAACAGAGTGAGACTCTGTCTCAAAAAAAAAAAAAAAAAAAATATGAGTACTACTTCAAGATCTAAATATACTCCCTGGGAGCCAGGTCACATATAATTTACTATATTATTTTAGGAACAGGTCAAGTCACCTGATCATAATTTATCTACCAGAAAACGCCCCCAAAACAAAAAACTTGCCCATGTGTGGTGGCTCATACCTATAATCCCAATACTTTAGGAGGCCAAGACAGGCTGATCACTTGAGCTAGGGATTTCGACACCAGCCTGGGCAACATACTGAAACCTGGTCTCTGAAAAAATATAAAAATTAAGTGGGCATGGTGGCATATGCCTGTGGTCCCAGCTACTTGGGAGGCCACGTCAAGAGGATGGCTTAATAGGCTGGGCGCGGTGGCTCAAGCCTGTAATCCCAGCACTTTGGGAGGCCGAGGCGGGTGGATCACGAGGTCAAGAGATCGAGACCATCCTGGTCAACATGGTGAAACCCCGTCTCTACCAAAAATACAAAAAATTAGCTGGGCATGGTGGCGCGTGCTTGTAATCCCAGCTACTCAGGAGGTTGAGGCAGGAGAATTGCCTGAACCCAGGAGGCGGAGGTTGCGGTGAGCCGAGATCGCGCCATTGCACTCCAGCCTGGGTAACATGAGTGAAACTCCGTCTCAGAAAAAAAAAAAAAAAAAAAAGAGGATGGCTTAAGCCAGGAAGGCAGAGGTAGCAGTGAACTGTGATCATACTGCTGCACTGCATGCAGCCTGGGCAACAGAGCAAGACAAAACAGAACACTTTTGGTTAGTGTGTGTGACTTAGCATCACTTGATCAAGTATAACATTGTATGTGGGGATATACTTACTGGGATGTAATGTTGGGACATGTTGTCCAAGTCTGTCATCTTTTAGCATGTGTAGCAATGTTGTTTTTCCTGCATTATCCAATCCAAGAAATACCAATTTACCAGTCTTCTTATATAATCCTGCAAAGTAAGAGCTATGATTAGTCAAAGTGATATCTGACACTGATTATCCAAATGAATTTAAATTTGACCCAATTAAGGTTGGAGTTGTAAACCTATTTTCGATTTTAAAAGAGCTATTTTAAATCTATTCATGGCTGGGCACAGTAGCTCACACCTGTAATCCCAGCACTTTGGGAGGCTGAGGCAGGCCAATCATCTGAGGTTAGGAGTTCAAGAACAGCCTAGCCAACATGGTGAAACCTTGACTCTACTAAAAATACAAAAATTAGCCAGGTGTGGTGGTGTATGCCTGTAATCCCAGCTACTCGGGAAGCTGAGGCAGGAGAATTACTGGAACCCAGGAGGCAGAGGTTGCAGTGAGCTGAGATCATGCCATTGCACTCCAGCCTAGGCAACAGAGTGAGACTCTGTCTCATAAATAAATAAATAAATCTATTCATGATTTGGGACTTCAAATAATTATAAAACCAAACTTTGACTCAGTCAATAGAATATGTGTGTTGCCTTAACATATCTACAATGCCAAAATGCTGATTACTTTAATTTTAGAAGTATCAACCAGGTATTGATTGATAAATTGATAAACAGAAAAAAGGCAGCATTGACCAATTTATAATAGACTGGAATTGAACTGCTAAATTTCATATCAAACTTACTTACTTTATTTATTTACTTAGAGACAGGTTCTCGCTCTTGCCTAGGCTGAAGTACAATGGCATTATTACAGCTTGCTGCAGCCTCAACTTCCTGGCCTCAAGCAATCCTCCCACCTCAGCCTCCTGAGTAGCTGAGACTATAGGTGTGTACCACTACACCTGGCTAAATTTTGTATTTTTTGGTAGAGATGAGGTTTTACCATGTTAGCCAGGCTGGTCTTAAACTCTTGGCCTCAAGTGAACTGCCCACCTTGGCCTCCCAAAGTGCTGGGATTATAGGCATGAGCCACATGCCCAGCCAAACTTTTTTATTTTATTTTATTTTATTTTATTTATTTATTTATTTTGAAAGAGTCTCGCTCTGTTGCCCAGGCTAAAGTGCAGTAGCGCAATCTTGGCTCACTGCAACCTCTGCCTCCCAGGTTCAAGTGATTCTGCCTCAGTCTCCTGAGTAGCTGAGACTACAGGTGCATGCCACCACGTCCGGCTAATTTTTTGTATCTTTAGCAGAGATGGGGTTTCACCATGTTTGTTAGCCAGGATGGTCACAATCTCCTGACCTTGTGATCTGCCTGCCTTGGCTTCCAAAGTGCTGGGATTACAGGCGTGAGCCACCATGCCCAGCCATCCAAACTATTTTTTACGTGTTTAATTGTCTAACCTCCATAGAATTATATTAAAGAAGACTAGTATTAACTTATAGTAGCAGCTGAAAAAATATTTAATCAATAAACTTTTTTCTGGTTCAAGTTGGCATTTGAAATAAACATTTAAAGACATTAGGCAATTATACTTTTAGGCCATTCGTTTTCTAATAAATTCATACTAAAATAACACCTCGTCTTTATCCACGCTTAAGCCTAAGAAATAAACTCTTTGATGTCCTAATCTTTTCTTTTTTGGGGGAGAATTATATATATTTTTTAATCATTAAAGAATCTACTTGTTTGACTGTCACTACTTCTATGAGTGTCACGGAAAAGCAATTTGCCCTAGATTACAAAATTTAAAAGCAATACCGCCAGGCGTGGTGGCTCATGCCTGTAATCCCAGCACTTTGGGAGGCCCAGGCAGGCCAATCACGAGGTCAGGAGTTCAAGACCAGCCTGGCCAACATGGTGAAACCTCGTTTCTACTAAAAATACAAACATTAGCCAGGCATGGTGGCAGCCGCTTATAATCCCAGCTACTTGGGAGGCTGAGGCAGGAGAATCACTTGAACCCAGGAAGCGGAAGTTGCAGTTAGCCGAGATAGTGCCATTGCACTCCAGCCTGGGGGACAAGAGCAAGACTTCATCTCAAAAAAAAGAGAAAGAGATGCAATGAGTAACTGAATATATTTGTATGATTACAAAGCCCATATTCTTAACTATTGCCTCATATATAAAGAGGCTCGACACAAATAAACCATAATATATAAATAAGATAAAAGGAGATAACTAAGAGAGCAAAGGACCAATGTTACCTAAAAACTGTAGCAAGGAGGCTGAACGCAGTGGCTCATGCCTGTAGTCCCAGTGATTTGGGAGGCCGAGGTAGGTGGATCATTTGAGATCAGGAGTTCAAGAACAGCCTGGCCAACACAGTGAAACTCCATCTCTACTAAAAATACAAAAAGTAGCCGGGCAGGCTGGTATACGCCTGTAGTCCCAGCTACTTGTGAGGCTGAGGCAGGAGAATTGCTTGAACCCGGGAGGCGGAGGTTGCAGTGAGCTAAGATCGCGCCACTGCACTCCAGTCTGGGCAACAGAGTGAGACTCAGTGCCTCCCCCTCAACAAAAAAAAAAACTGTAGCAAGGCTGGGCACAATGGCTCACGCTTGTACTCTTAGCACTTTGGGAGGCTGAGGTGGGTAGATCACCTGAGCTCAGGAGTTCAAGACCAGCCTGGCCAACATGGTGAAGCCCCATCTCTACGAAAAATACAAAAATTAGCTGGTATGGTGGCACACACCTGTAGTCCCAGCTACTTGAGAGGTTGAGGCAGAAGAATGGCTTGAACCTAGGAGGCAGAGATTACAGTGAGAGATCACGCCACTAAACCCCAGCCTGGGTGATAGAGCAAGACTCTGCCTCAAAGACAAAGAAACAGAAAACCAGCCTGGGCAACATAGCAAGACCCCATCTCCATAAAATTAAAAAAAAAAAAAAATTCCTGGGTAAAGACATCTTATTTAGCAGATTATAAACTGCTATTTATGGTATACAAGGTACTTTATGGAACGTGCATTTTAATAATAAAAATAACATACTGAGGGCCGGGCGCGGTGGCTCAAGCCTGTAATCCCAGCATTGTGGGAGGCCGAGGCGGGTGGATCATGAGGTCAAGAGATCGAGACCATCCTGGTCAACATGGTGAAACCCCGTCTCTACTAAAAACTACAAAAAATTAGCTGGGCATGGTGGCGCGTGCCTGTAGTCCCAGCTACTCAGGAGGCTGAGGCAGGAGAATTGCCTGAACCCAGGAGGCGGAGGTTGCGGTGAGCCGAGATCGCGCCATTGCACTCCAGCATGGGTAAAAAGAGCGAAACTCCGTCTCAAAAAAAAAAAATAAAATAACATACTGAATTCCTGTAAGGATTAAATGATATAAAGCATTAAAGCACATAGATAAACTAGCTAATAAATGGTAGATATTTCTGTTAGTAATATTCCTAACACCTTAACAGCCAGGAATTATTATTACCATTTTACAGATAAGGAAACTCAGGCTAAGGTGAAAAAAAGTAATTTGCCAAAGATTATTTAATTTAAAAGGGATATAACAAGTAATTGAACATATTTGTATGATTTCAAAGACTATATTCTTAACTATTCTTAACTACTGGCTTATATATAAAGAGACTTGACACAGATAAGCACTTTCAAATAAATAAGACCAAAGAGGATAACTATAGAGAACAAAGAACCAACATTACCTAAAAACTGTAGCACACTGCTGAAACCACTGTAAATCCAATCAAATATGAAGGACATATCCAAATCTGATAGGGTCTGAAAAAAGGAGTTTTGAATTTAGTAGTCGACATTAAACACCAATACTGTTAAACACCAACTCTGAGTAGATAATCCTACAGCAACCTTACTGCAAAGAATTACACACTCTTATCCAGGCTGGTCTAACATGATCTATATTGATGTAGTGGCTCATGCTTGACATTCTAGCATTTTGGGAGGCCTAGACAGGAGGATCACTTGAGCTTAGGAGTTCAAGACCAGCCTGGGCAGCATGGCAAAACCCCGTTTCTACAAAAAATAAAAAATTAGGTAGGCATGGTGGAATGCACTTGTGGTCCCAGCTATTTAGGAGGCTGAGGTGGGAGGATCACTTCAGCCCAGGAGGCTGAGGCTGCTGTAAGCCCTGATCACACCACTGCACCCCAGCCTGGGTGCCAGAGTGAAACCCTGTCTTAAAAACAAAACAAGGCCGGGCGTGGTGGCCCACACCTGTAATCCCAGCACTTTGGGAGGCTGAGGCGGGTGGATCACGAGGTCAGGAGTTTGAGACCAGCCTGGCCAACATGGTGAAAACCTGTCTCTACTGAAAAAAAAAAATCAGCTGGGTGTGATGGCGGGCGCCTCTAATCCCAGCTACTCTGGAAGCTGAGGCAGGAAAATCACTTGAAACCAGAACGTAGCGGCTGCAGTGAGCCAAGATCGCGCCACTAAACTCCAGCCTGGGCTACATAGTGAGAATCCATCTCAAAAAAAAAAAAAAAAAAAGACACTAAAATACCAAGTAGAAACCATTCTTTGTCCACTAAAGTAGCAAAATGAAAAAGAATTTTAACAGCCAGGACCAAAAAGGATGTGGTAAAAAAGAGGCACATTTGGTGGCAGTATAAACTAGCACAAAATCAATTAGGCAAAAATATATCTGTTAGTATCATTTGACCCAAGAATTCTACTTTTAGAAATTATCTTATGCTTAAAGGCTTAGCTTTAAGAAGACCCAAAAAAAAAAAAAAAAAAAA